TACTCTCCGCCGCGAGCCCTTACTTCGAGAACCTTTTCAATGGCGATTAAGGCTTGAATCAAAAACAAGTTATCGAAATAAATGATATCGATAGCGATATTTTTGAGCGTTTATTAACATTTTGCTACACCGGCCAGGCGCTGATTACTGTTAACAATGTCGCTGCAATGATAAAGGCGGCAATTGTTTTGCAATTGGACGATGCCATAACCAGTTGTGTGCGCTACATTATGACGCATAGCAATGAATATACATTACGTGGTGCCTATACACTAGAGCGTGAAACTCAATGTGAACTTCTTAATAAGAATATTATCGATTACGAAATACAGAATTTCCTGGAGGTGAGTCTAGTTATATGCGCAATGTGTCATAATTCCGGTTTTTGTGTACTTAAATTTTGTTTCTGATAATATTAGATCAGCCAAAGCGACGCATATATGAACTTTGATGTTGAAAAAATGCAAGTCATTCTGGAATCTGACAATTTGAATATAGTTTGTGAAGAAAATGCTTATGATGCTGTAAAAAGATGGTTTAATTACGATGTTCTCGCCCGTTAAAAACACCTACCACTCTTAATAGCTTGTCTGCGGCTTACCCAATTAGGCTAGGGTTTTCTGTTGAGACACATACAGCCATTACCTGGTTGTGAGCTACTGGCATTCAAGGCGATATTGTGGAACAGTGAGCCTAAAGCACGAACAAAGATAAATATCCGATTTACAGAACCACGAGTGGTCAGCGCTAAAAATTGTGGTAAGAGAACATTGCTGGCGGTTCGCTCAGGGGTAAGCGCATACAGCGGCTTATATATCAAAAGTTAAAATCTTTAATTAGTGTATGTCCAATATTTTTGGAATAGACGAAGGGTCCAAACATGCTGCAATATATCAAAGCTCAGGATGAGTGGCAGGAAAATGCGAGTATAAAATTCGATTACCATTTTTATAGTACTATTTTAAAGGATGAAAATATATTATTTATTGGGGGTTGAAAAAATGGTTTAACATTCAACATTGTCCTCTGCTGGAATATACGAAATAAAACATGGCGAAATTTTCCCACCATGAACCAAGCAGATACTGGCAATGTGTTGTCGAATTAGGTGAGAAAATCTACCCTATTGGTGGTCGTGTGGGAAATAAAAATCTGTCGTTAGTAGAAAGGTAAATATGTATAAAAATGTAATCAATTACTTAACGGTGAGCTTTAATAATTAAATCTTCCCTTTGAGTAAAATTGTGAAAGCACTTTAGATGCTTTATGGTAATGAAATTGACGAATATGTTATGAGTCATCACAGGGCATTTACCTCTAAATTGCTTCTGGCTTTAGGTAAACTCTTACTCTCTGACTCTATCTTGATGAAACTTGCTACACATATTTCTTTTCACCATCATTTTGCAATGTTGTTTGACGTAGCATACCGAAGATGTATAAAAACTGTAGTCATACTCTACCGATACTTTGCAGTAGTAAATAGGTGAAATCCAATAATAACACCGCCCACTCCCTTTATAACGGGCTGTTGCTTCGTTCAGTTACGGCCTTGCTGTAGCGTTCATTCTCTTAAATAAGGTCTTGTATCTTGTGCCATGAGAACTGTTATGAAATTTATTTGTTTCGATTAATGGCGTTTGATGTGTGATTACACCCATCACCCAGCCTGGCTATCTCTACGGCACATAAAACATCTGTACCAAGTTCGATATGATCACCTTAATTTTTACTAAAGTTACAGCTTACAGACAGACGGACCGGACGAAGTCACCGGGCTATTGTCTTTTCATTCTGATCATTTATACACCCATAAGTATTCTGTACGCCCTATATCAACGCACGATAAGTTTGGGTGACCATAAGTATTGATTATGAAAGCTATTATTCTTTGCCTTAACATGTTGCAAGAGTATAAAAATATGCGGTGCCACCGCATGCCATCCTCTGGTGCTAAAATTTTACCTATCTCCCCGGCGGTTTGATTATTAATTTATCGTGATTTTGCTAATTTTATGGAAA